GCCAGCCCGCTCAGAGATGTGTATAAGAGACAGACGTATGGCTCTTGACAATTAATAATCAAAACTTTTTAAAAATACTTAATATAAATATTAGCTTAAATTAATCTTTACACTATAATTGTTAGAATTGCATTTTTTAAAAGTTTATTTAATAATAAATACCTCAAGGAATATGGTATGCAAATGTAAACATAAAAATTAACTTATTAATTCCAGCGTTTAAACGAGATGTCTTATTTTAATAATGTTATAAAATACGAGAATTATAACTTATAAGAGTTATAAGATTATATCTAATTTAAATAAAAAATTTACACATTTTACCGAGCAAATTAAAATAAATTATTTACATTACTTTCTGAATTTCAATTCATATTTAATATGATGAAAAATATTAAAAATTTGGTAATATATCGTTTACATAGCAATTTTTCGCAAAAAAACCAATTTTTCGAAAAGAAACCGAAATTTTTCTGATTTTTTCCAGCAATTTGAAAAAAGCAGTTTTTATAAAACTATATAATAATGTCGGATAGCAATAAGTATGGCACACACATTTATATATATTCACGCACATTCTTGTGTGTGTTTCGTTTTATAAGAAAAGACAATACACAACAGAAGAGAGTAGCTGACTACTACATTGTAGTGAGTCTTTTTATACTATCCTACAAATTTCGTGACTGTAATTATAGAAAATTATAGATATAGCCTTGCAGAATTTTTATTTTCTACTAATTTATAATATATAATTTGTTGCTTGCTCTTTAATTTATTTCAAAGTTGAATTTAAACATTCTCTCATTTGAAATTTTGAGTAAAAATATCTGAAAAATTCGGGAATTCTTACATAATTTTTTTTTTTTTTTTAATAAGATTTCAATGAACATCCTGCTTTTAATATATTTATTTTAATATACCTGCTTAGATTGAAATAAAAACAATAAAGCAATGTCACTTCCCCTTTGGCCATTGTATACTTGAATTATTACATTATTCATCAGGCATGCTCAACCCCCCCAGGCTCTGTCTTAGAAACAAAGAATAATTCAAGCATGTTGCGTTATTTTAGTATGCTGCTCATATTCTCTGCACCTTCGCTCTCTCTTTGTATTCAGAAAATTTTCTTTATTAATATGTATTTTATTGTAATATATATTTGAAGTACTTTTTTTTATAAGAAATTAATTAAAGCTTTCACGATATTACCTATATATATTTAAAATTGTTTATTCATATTTTTATATTACTGAACTAAATTCTAATCTGAATTTGCACTAATGTATACATGAAAATATCTTTTAGATTAGAAGTTTAATTTATTTAATTATCAGGAAAGACCGTGAAATATTAAATAATTAAGATCATAAACGCCAACACGGTACAAAAAAAGTTTTGGTGCTTTCATATAACATTATAGTGTGAATCTTACAATTTTCATATAATACCACGTGGCCGCAAATCGCGTGAGAATGAGATGATATTTTTTCGCAATAATTGTTTACAGATTCGTATAGATGCAAGTTAGCATTTATTTGATATTGTGAGGATGGGGGGATTTCACAGAATTTAAAATAGATGCTTTGAGCATCGATTTATTAGATTGCCTATGGCAATTTAATTGTAATATTACATACTACTTGGTTTGGAGCTGCGGAGATGCAATTTGTGGCCACGTGGTATTATATGAAAATTGTAAGATTCACACTATAATGTTATATGAAAGCACCAAAACTTTTTTTGTACCGTGTTGGCGATTCTGATCTTAATTATTTAATTTATTTATTTTAATAATAATATAAAAAAGATCTTTTACATTCGAAATATCTAACATTAACCTTGTTTTGTTTAAAGGTGGCACACTATTCGGCAAACATCTGGTGCGAGATCTAGAGTTGCAGAGACCGTGCTCATGCCAACGACGACGCAAGCGTTGCTTCTGTTTCCGTCCAAATCGTAACGAAAATTGGTTATTCTCACGGTACTCCACCGGCTGGAAGTGTGGACTACACGCGGACTGGACCGAACTGACGAATTGTGTAGATACGGAGCTCAATAAAATTGAAGGGGAAGGCATTAAGCGTCGTTACTTTTACATAACTATCATAAGGGATCCCGTTGCGAGATATCTCTCCGAGTTCAGGCACGTACAGAGAGGTGCTACGTGGCGAGGTGCTCGTCACTGGTGCGGAGGTACTCAAGCAAATATACCCCAGTGTTATGATGGCCCCAATTGGAAAGGTGTTACTCTGGAAGAGGTATCTCGTTTTTGCCTGATATCAACTCTTCTTATTAATACAAATTACAATAGTCTATTTATATAAGCCGTTTTACTGTACAAAGTAGAAAAAATAAAAATTTGTATGTAATTCAATCCCAAGCTATCGATTAAGCCTACTTAGAACTTGATCGATTCAGCCGTTATTAAGATTGGACAATCTCGTGTACTCGTAATTTGCCAGCTCGCATATAGATACACGAGATGGTCTGCGCGGACGCGCTGCGCGGACATTCGACGCGAAACACTACCGTGTCTCTTGATGCATTAATTGTAAGATAAAAATTTTGTCTTATCTTAAAAGCATCCTTTGTCACTTCATACGCGACTACTTCCTGTTAGATAACTTAGTCGCGCCCTCTTCTATAATAAACGCATTGTGCTTGTGATCACTTGTTATCAACATGAGCAAGGAAAACAGATTAATTTAAAGTAATAGATAAATGATGAAGAATAGAACTATTGATACAGTTTAGGAGAGTTGGTTTAATAATGGAATTGTTATGTATGTGCAGTTTATGGAATGTCCCTACAATTTGGCGAGGAACCGTCAAACGAGAATGCTGGCAGATCTATCGATAGTTGGCTGTTACAATTCTACTCTCAGCAAAACTGATAGAGACCGTCTGATGTTGGCCAGTGCTAAGCACAACTTACAATTTATGCCTTTCTTCATGCTGACTGAGTATCAGAAGGTATGCGACACATATTACACACAGTTTATTTTTATTGTCATTATTACCGTCATTAGAAATTTATTGCGCTTGCTATAATTTTTTGTTGCAACACACATATGATGTTTGTCATGCAAAAACATCTTTTTATTGATTGCGCGATATCATTATAGCGCAAAATATGAAATGTAGCTGCTTCTATATATGTGCAGAATAATGTATGAAAACAATAATAATTTTTAGCAGACTGCTAAATATTGATCTCTCCTAAATATTTAAGCTACATAAAATTGTTATTCTTATAAGTCACGTTCGCGGCTTGACTGCTTAAGAATAGACGTCTTAACGTAAATATTTATGAGACTCCCCCTCCTAATAACATCTGGGAGCAATAGGTTTATTCGACAAACTAGCCATTGCTGCCCACTCTTTTAAAGTCTTGTTTTCTTCATGGCTGTTCTATGTTAGATGATAAATGTTAAACAAAAATTTGTCTTCTATATAATTTATTGTACTTTATTATTATATTATGTGCTTGATAAGAAGTAACATCTTTAAATAAAATAATATTCCATGCTCCAGGAACATCATTTTTATTTAGGTAATAATATATTATTTTTTTATGTGTCATATTTTGTCACGTTTTTCTTGAAGTATAAATATTCTTTTTTTTTTTTATATTATGGCTATTATCAGTAAATTGAAGCCTTGAACTCTGTTTGCAAACAAAAAAAATTCAATTACACAACAACACAGCAATTCATGTTAGAAGATTTAAGTTACTATTAATATTATTATTATAACAAAAAAGATTCAATTACATAACAATATAGCAATTTATGTTGGAATATTTATGTTACTATTAATATTATTGTTATAATTCTTTTATTAATTCTTTAATTAATACATTAATACTTTAAAAGAAATATATAGAATTTATATAGTATATAATACAAAATAGCTTTATGTTTATAGTTTTAAATAAACTAGTGATAGTCATAAATTAATGAAAGTCAAAAGACTGATAAAATAATGGACGTTTTGAAATTGATAATTATATCTCTTATATCGTATTTCTTGTGTAATGATAAATTCTTAATTACATTAGGTGGGACAATACACCTTCGAAGAAACGTTTAAAATGCGATTTGCGGTTGCGTTTGAGCAGCATAATGCTACACTTAGTGCAGCTACTATGGCAACCCTCAGCGCAGAACAACTGGACGCCGTACGTAAACTCAACAGCTTAGACCTAGAACTTTACGAATTTGCAAAGAATCTCGCTTTTCAAAGATTTAAACGGCTTAGAGATCGTGATCCACATTTCGTACAACGATTCCAACACCTTGGTGAATTGCCATCGAGGCAAAGTGCCACAGAATTTAATTGGGATTCTGTCATTGAAGATACTACAGATAACGAATGATATGTGAGTACGTTATTAAGCAATCTTCGGCGCTTTGCATTTCGATACCAAACGTTACTGGATCTGAGCGTCTGAGGGAAGTGCCCTTGAAACAAAATACTTTATGTATAAATCAATAACTTAACTGCATAAAATTTACCAAAAGCACAGAAATGTACTTGGATAAGACCAAAGAAAGGTTCAAGAACCTTAGTGTGATGAACCTGTTAGTATTCTGGCAGCAGTTAAAAGCATAAAAATTATATATGTAATACAGTTGATTTCCTCTATTTTAAGATTATCAGGACCGAGTCACTTTTCGAATTATTTTCTCTATTCAATGATTTCCTCTCAATACCCACTTTTATTTTAATAGCAAATGTACAAAGTGAGACTATTGTTGCACACTCTGTCTCTCACTCGCTTTCTCATTCTAATTTTGCAATTTAGTCATGTGGAAAAGTGAATATGAATATTAAGAAAGCAGCATGAAAGAACTAGAGCATCCTAAAGGACAATAGGACAAGTTTGCTTGGAATAAAAGAAAATCTAGAATAAAGGAAGTCGATCCTAATAGTCAAACATTATCTATCATCTGAAAAATGTTCGTAAATTTTATAAAAGTTCTTCCATATATAAGTAACATATCTTTGCTTATAATTATAGTCATGAAATTGATATTTTTTTTTTACATTTTATGACTTATCTGCAAATTATTGCCATATGCGCCAAATAATGTTTTTTTCTAACATTAATTTATACACATATTAATTATACCGGCATACATCTTGATGCTGATTTATTAATTTATATACTTTTTTTGTATGAGATATACAGATATTTGTTTTTATTTCAATTGTGAATTTATATAAACGGTGTTATAATATAATGTTGATGTAATTAAACTCATATAACTCATATTATATATACAAGAGATAATTTTTTACAGTCTGAAAAGCTGACAAAATACCTTACAGATAAAATGGGAACGTCATTAATTTTTGTTGTTTTTTAAATTTTATATTATAAATTAAATTTTATTTTATATTATAAAATCTTGTTTCTGAATTTCCAAAAATATTTGCAACGCGAAGTTGCTGTTCTGCTTCTTTAACCCTAGACTACCACACTGAGTAAAATTTACCCGGCCTACCTATTTTGTTGCATAATTTGGTTCAAACGCATGGATTTAGAACTTTTTTTTTAAATCTATACGCCAGACAGTAAGAAAGGTAACTGAATGGATAGTAACACTCAAAGATCTTAAAGACATGAACAATTTGCAAAAATGTAAATCAGCAGATCGGAAGAGCACACGT